GAAAATAGGACTATTATTGACTTTAAAAAGTATCAATTGCACTCAGACCTGTAAATAGAGGTGAATAAGTTAAATCTTGGCAAGCCACTTCTGAAAGGTTGCTGATCCCTGGGTTAACTAGTTAGAGGGGGTGGGAGCACTCAAACCTCACTGGACTGGAGTGGTGCCTGCAGCAGGCGAATTGGAGCAGGCTGGAGGGCCAGGCCAGGCCCGCCACAGACAGAGGATTCTCTGGTGGGCCCGTGATGCTGGACAGCTGTTTGCCCACAGAGGAGCTTCTCCATCTTCTACTGCAAGCCAATTAGCCATTCACATCCCTAACAGGAAGCCCACAATAGGCAGATGTGGAATAATCTAACCCACCAGTTCCTGTATATTGTCACATTCTAATCTCTAATTAGACTGTCTTAAGATATGAAACATAAGGATATAAAGTTAACTTTCCTTTGAACACATTATAGATCAATTGTTACACCTTCAAAATGGTTTCTGGAGAAATTTCCCAATGTCACTATTCCTATTTGCCATTTAAGTGTGCTTGGTGTGCAGTAGGAATGTAGAAGAGATTATAAGAAAAGCCTTAGGTTTGAGCTGCTGTTTCTCGGGAGGGGGAGCGGCAGCACATGGAGCCACTTTCTCCCCTTGCCACATATAGCCCATGGGTCAGATCCAGCTGCAGCTTGCCTGATTCAGCCAAATGAAGCATGGGGGACTCCCCCACCCGCCCAGGATGTGGGAAGCAGGTGCTCCAGCCCAGAGGAGGGAATTGCAGGGGAATCTTAGGGCTGGAGCGCTAGTGCCTGCTCTCTGATGCTTGTGGGGCAGCCCCAAGTCTCGGGCCAGATCTAGGCAATCCAGGAGACAGATCTGGCCCCTGAGCAGAAGGTGCCCCACCCTGATCAAGAAGCAATAAAAGAACTTTCACAGAGAAGTTGGAAGACCTTGACTTTGCAGATATCATCAGCCAGCTATCCTATACCCGCAAGTTACATGCAAGCCAAAAGAAATGATCTCCCGGTCTCTGACAATTAGTACAGTTGGAAATCAACAGTGAGCATACTAAAACCATGCATTTTAACACACAAGAAGCACCAATAATGCTTTCTGGAATTGAAATAAGGGGCCTGATATTTCACGTAACTTGGCAGCATTACAAATGCAACAGAGGGAGCAGATGACAACATTAAAGACAGACTACTGAAAGCCAGACATGCATTTGTAATAATAAAGCTAATCTGGAAAACAGAAATTTGCCCTCTAAGTTAAACTTTGGATAATACCATTGTAAAGTTGGTCTTACTCTGTGGTTCCGAATTTTGGAGATTTAAGACCTTGCTAAATCAAGTTTTCATAAACAGTTGACTTAGACAAATCTTCAATATCGGATGCCAGAAAAATCAAAGAATTCTAGAGAAGGATGAAACAGGAGCTGATAGGGCAGGATGTTACAGAATAAAAATGGTGGTGACTAAAACAGATATGGAGGAAACACCCAAACAACATGAGAAGACAGGCATTAGACTGGAATCCTAAGAGCAAGAGGCAACAAGGTAAATTGAGGTTAACCTGGAAATGAGCAACAGAAGCTGTCAGACAGTTCAAGAAGCCAAGATTGCAGCAGGAGACTGGCAAAGATGGAAGGCATCACTGAGAGTCCTTATGTTCTGGAATGACAGAAAAATCATTTTAAAGCTAGGCTACTACAAGCATTTTGATAGGGAGTGGAATCCTAAGAGCAAGAGGCAACAAGGTAAATTGAGGTTAACCTGGAAATGAGCAACAGAAGCTGTCAGACAGTTCAAGAAGCCAAGATTGCAGCAGGAGACTGGCAAAGATGGAAGGCATCACTGAGAGTCCTTATGTTCTGGAATGACAGAAAAATCATTTTAAAGCTAGGCTACTACAAGCATTTTGATAGGGAGGGTCCTTCTGTATAGCTTCCTCTTCGTTGGCTGCGTAAATGTAATG